TTTCATTCTCCTGCCCCTCTGTGTGTGAGGGACAACATGGGAGGGGTGGAGATGGGGGGATTTGGAAAAAGAGATGGGTCCCTGGGTCCCCAAAATAAAATTGTCCATTTTATTTTTCTTCTCTTTATAAATATCCCTATCTTTATTTTTCACCCAGTGCCATTCTTAGTAGTGTGTAGTAATAAATCTAAATTTTACAACTTAAGTTATACTATCTATCTAAAAAGCATACATATCTTAACTCCCAATTACACCATGTTTATCTCAAAGTCATAAATATTTCGTGTYAATTGAGTTTTTGCTCTCCCTTCTCCCTCTCTGGTCGGGGGGGAAAGGAGGGAACGTCGTGGGCACAGTTCAAACCACGACACCATCATATTAAAAAAGATCTGTATAAAGAAGTAAAGCAACCTTGCTGTAAGAGAAAAAAAAAAAAATCCTGGCCTTTTGAAGACCAGACTGTTTTTTGATTATGAAGCCAAGAAATAGAAAAAAGGTTTACTCCCCCACGAAATTTTGATCTAGAAGAAGCTGTGTTTTAGTGTTCTACCAAGAAGTTTGTAATAATCGAACTCACGTCRCTGAAAAAAAAAMCAACATAAACCTTGAAAAACATTTCTTTTCTTTTCTCCTGCGAAGTAAAGAAATTCCTTTTCTGCTCTTAGCAGTTCTACACTGACTGTTTCTCAGAAAAGGACACATCCCACAGCTGGAGCTGTAAGAATGTTCTGTCCTACAATGTTTAAACAACAGCTGAGTGTTTTGATCTGTGTTAGATTTTCATTCTCCTGTCCCCCTGTGTGTGAGGGACAACATGGGAGGGGTGGAGATGGGGGGACTTGGAAAAAGAGATGGATCCCCGGGAAAGTGTAAATGTCTTAAATTGTCCATTTTATTTTTCTTCTCTTTATAAATATCCCTATCTTTATTTTTCACCCAGCGCCATTCTTAGTAGTGTGTAGTAATAAATCTAAATTTTACAACTTAAGTTATACAACCTATCTAACTATCTATCTAAAACCCATACGTATCTTAACTCCCAATTACACCACGTTTATCTCAAAGTCATAAATATTTTGTGTTAATTGAGTTTTTGCTCTCCCTTCTCCCTCTCCGGTGGGGGGGAAAGGAGGGAACGTCGTGGGCACAGTTCAAACCACGACACCATCATATTAAAAAAGATCTGTATAAAGAAG